AAAATACTCTGGTAAAAGTGGAAGTACTAATTAAACTTCTTTACTCAAGTAAAAGTAACAAAGTACAGGCTTGTAAATTTACTTAAAGTATATAAGTAAAAGTGGTTTCTACTTTTACTTTTATACTTTAAGTAAATTTACAAGCCTGTACTTTGTTACTTTTACTTGAGTAAAGAAGTTTAATTAGTACTTCCACTTTTACCAGAGTATTTTTTAACACAAGTATCGGTACTTTTACTCAAGTACGGAAAGTGAGTACTTTTGCCATCTCTGATGGATGGATGGATGGATGGATGGATGGATGGATGGATGGATGGATGGATGGATCGATCTTGTGGACTAATCTCACTTGTGGACTAATCTCACTTCAGGTTTAATGTCAGATTTTAGTAACTTAAATATATAGTAAGGGTCAGAATTTTACATAAAGTCACTCAACAATTTAAAATTGGGGCTTTTATGGATTTATATAAAATCACACAACATAAAACTTTTTTTCCAAAACCAGTTTAAATTTATTGCTTTCATATAATCCAAACTGGATCAAAATTGTGTCATTTTTTTTCCGAGTGTGAAGTATTTCCCATAAAAAGAGCAGTTTTTGCTCAAATTTAAGGAGTGAAAGTTTTGGTTAGGGCTGAAACAATTAATCTAATATTGAAATAATCGCCAACTAAGCTAGTAATCGTTAACCTGAGTATAGAGACGCTAAAACAGGCCTTTAGCTGACAGAGCGACCCACTTAAAGCAGTAATCATACAAAAATTGTAAAATAATAAAAGTTTTGCATTTAACATAAAAAAAATATAATCTGTCAATATGTTCTACCCAGAATTCCTTAAGTGCAAAAGTTAAGTTTCACCTGGTTTAGTCCTATTAATACTCTCCTTTTGCTATCCAATTATTAATCGAAAAAAATAATCGACATATTAATCAATTAGCAAAACAATCGTTAGTTGCAGCCCTAGTTTAAGTCAACTTTACTCTTTTCAATCAGGGACCAAATCTGATCTTTTTTCAGGTTGAAATATGTTTAAAATCCTTTTCCTGTGTAGGAGCCGAATATATACATCCAACTGGATGCTGGATAAATGAGCAGCACTTACTCTTATGTAGCAATTAGCAAGCTTTCTGCAGAACTACAGCAGGATGTCTAAAATCAGGATTCACACATGGCTCCAATGTAAACAATACTGTAGATGCTGGAGCATGCTTCAGAGCCACATCAAATGAACCAATTTAAACAAACTCTCCAAGATATACCAAGACTGAACAAATATTTGAAAGAATTATGTTTATAGCAAGAAAAAAAGTGTGTGAGGTGCAACTTACCAATGTTCTAGATATATATTTGTGCCTAAAATTAGCATTTATAACTCCTGATCACATGCTGCAGAGAGAAAAGTCTCAATAAAGCTAAAATTGTAATCCCAGCTCTTGTGGTTGTTGTAGAGTACAGAAAAGAACATTTTAAAACAATGATGCATCATATTCAGGCTAATGATGATTGAAACTTTGTCCAGCATTAAAAGGCTCTTCTTAATATATTGTTTCTGTTTTATCCAAAGGGTTGTGATGAACATTGGTTGCGTTTATTCAAACATCTCAGATCACATGCTCGTACCTATTATATTACACTTTCACAGAAGAATAACGGACATTTAAAAACATTAACAAGTATAAAACAATACTGTTAAAAACTCTTAGTATTTATAGAAACACTAAAAAGTGAAAAGGCATTCATACAAAACTTGATTAATTGGCACATTTTTTATAAGAACATTGATTTAAAATAATTTTTTTAAATGTCTATTCTTTGGTTTTCACCCCAGAACTAGCTAAAGCCATAATTTTGTCTTCCGACCCTGAAGGGAAAAAGGAGGAAAAAAACAAAGATGAATGTTAATAATCTGACAAGCTAAAAAAAAGATCCATTTATAAAAATTTAAAGAGTTTGTTTCTGCTCACCCAGGTTGGCAGTGACTTTTTCAAACTGACTTAGAGTAGCTGTAGTGTTTTTAGTAAGGAACATCTCATCTTCTGGAGTAAGCTGTTTGAAAAACAAACAAAAAAACTTTAACAATCTCCTTAAATACTTCAGGCTTTTTTCGACAAAGATGACTAAGATAATCAGTGGCGTGAATTTTTAAATAGAAACATGATAAAAATTTGAGAGTGCATGGAAAAGCAGAGGGCTTCCTCACCTTTTCTCCCAGCTTCCTCAGGGCTGTGAGGATTTCCATTTTCTGCTGCGTGTGAACGGCCGGGGACATTTTCCCCACCATCAGGTCTCGGTCCATCTGCTCCGGAATGTCACACACAGGTTGGACAATTTTCAGGTAAAGCAGCGCAAACAAAATCACAATGCAGTGAGTCACAGGAGCCAAGACACAGATTTACACAACACAAATGCAAAAAAACAAAAAAAAGGTTGAAAATTTGTCAAATAGGGAAAAAAAACCCAAATCCTTTTAAGCACTGGAATGAAAGTCCTGAAGATCCTGATTATTCTAAGAAATGTTTAAAAACACCTGGAGCTCAGACCTCTCCAAGCCTGGTCCTCAGCTGTCCTGGCTGCCTTTTTGCAAAAAGTCGGATCACCTCGGGGGTTTTGAAGGCTTGGCTGATGGCAGCTTGGATTGCCTGATGGAGAAAACAAGTCAAACATTTCACAAATCAGAATGCAATGTTTGTTATTATATCTCCTAATAAACAGGATAGATGTAGCAGATTTATGCAACAGATAAGACATGATTAAAAGATAGCCACTAATAATAGTCACTAATAATTAGTAAATATGTATAAAACAAGATTTTAAGGTAAGTATATATGATTTTAAGATTTATAAGACATTTTAACATTATTTGATAAGATTGGATGAGTGTTTCATCTCAGTATAATTAAGTCATTAAATGATTCAATCTTCTAATTGACAGCTTGTTAAACAGTAAACAATAAATTGTACTTTTTAAAACACTGGTGTAGATTCTATATCATTCAGGACACGATGATGAAGAGTTCTGAAATTGATGGAGTTCTTCATTTGTTTTTTAGATATTTCATTTCTCATCCAAAAGGCCTCTTCAGCTCATCTTATACTCATTTTTAATGTTTATTTAGTAGAGAAATAAGCACAAGGCATCCCACCAGACTTTAGCCTTCTCTAAGTATAAATTTAGATTTGATGAAACTGCATGATAGGTTTTAGCATCAAAGCTGCTGTTATCAGCAAATATATGTATGAGAAAAACAAAATTAGAACACATTGAGAAAATCTTTAATACAAAAGCAAAGACTGGACGTAAAATAGTCCCTTGTGGAATTCATGTTTTTTTTTTTTTTTTGGAGGAAAGAGAGGGGTGTTAAAAATGTTTATTTGTCATTGTATTGCTGCAACAGCATTTTGTCTGCACATTATAACCAAAAATATAAAGGTAGAACAACCTCATCTGGGTCCTTCTTAACCAAACCTGATGTGTTTATTGTTCACCTCAGCTCAATGTGATGTGAGTGCCAAGAAATCCTACTAGATCTACTCACTCTTCTCACCACCAATGTCAGCAGAAGTGGGACCTCCTGCCTGTGCCGGTGTTCTGTCAGATGAGCATACTTCTTCATACCAGCAGACCCATAGTCAATACACATGCGCAAGACGTCAGATTTGCGTTTATCCCTTTAGTTTTAGACTTTAAACTACTTAAACAGGGGTGTATCCCTTTAATTTTGTATAAAAAATAGACTAAACTACCTCAACAGGGGGGTGTATCCCTTTAGTCATGTACAAAAAAACAATTCAAGGTCAGATCGCCATACGCTTAAAAAACCCCACCAAAAAGTAAGTAATTAAAAGAGTTTTTTCGTACATGACTAAAGGGATATAAACCAGTTGCGGTAGTTTACTCTATTTTTCATACAAAACTAAAGGGCTAAACTAAAGGGATAAAGGGGTAATGACTATGTGTAGGATGGTCTGACAGGGTAACCTCATCTGACAGAGCAGCAGGTCTCGGATAGTTAGTAATGAAACCTTCTACTATCATCTTTGATTTTAACTACAGTGTTGAATTGATTCTGTTTAATATTGTATTTTGTGCAGACTGACACATGGTTAGAGGTAGAGACAGTCATCAATGTATGACCTCTGAAAAAGAATGTATGTGTGCAGGAATAAATGTCCCTACCAGCTGCATCCCACCAAGTTCATCCACCAGTGTCATGTCTCCTGTCATTATCTTCTTCAGGGAGTCGTTGAATTCCTCCAGCTGTTCCAAAGTCTCTTTCTTTGTTTCCTCATACTCCTCCTCCTCCAGATCTTCTCTATTAAAAGCAACAAAACAATAATAACCTCATGGAAGGCAACCAGGCAGACCTGAGATTATTGATTGGTTCATTGTGCACCTGCACTCCTCCAGGTCCTGAAGCTGCATCATTAGTCTGTCCAGTTGTTCCTCCATGTTCTGCTTCAGTTTGCTGGTTTCTGATTTCCCCCGTGATGCCATTCTGTGTCACAATCCTGTTTCCAGAGACTTGAGGACAGACATAAGGAAGTAGAATAACAAGCCCCAGCTCAGATTGACTGATATTGATCAACAGGCCACAAATAGGCTAAGTGGGTGCAAAGGAAGCTTGTGTTTCAATATTTTTTGGTCATCAAACTTAAGTTTTGCACAACAAACAGAAAGCTCACATAAACATTCACCATAAATGTAAGCTAGCATGCTAAAGCAAAGCATCTCACCGTGGGCTGCCTTTGTAATAAACAGTTATAAACACGCAGTAACTCGAGGCGGGACGTTTGTTTCAAACTAACAGGACCGAACCATATAATAATGAAAGGAGGCGCTGCATAAAAGCCGAAAGAAAAGCAGGTTAATTCAGTAAAGACGGGTTTAGGGTGTTTACGTTCTGTCTCTAGTCGTATGAGAGGTGAAGAATTGTGACCATGAACGTAACTTCAGAGCGTGGGTGCGGTCTCCCTAACAGTCCAATCAGCTTCGCCTATTTTACGTGACCTCTGACGTCAGTTACGTACAGAACTTTCTACTTTTAAATGTTTTTATTTTTTTATTCAATGAATTACCTTAAGAAAGCGAAATTGATAGAAAAAATATTATATTTATTAACTTAATTATCATAATTTTATTTTATTATTTATTGTGGGAGAATCCACGCTCCTTTCCAGTAGATGGCGGTACTGCGCATCAATAAGTTGCTTGCCAACCGCCATAAAAAAGAAGAGGAAAAAGTTACGTACAGGAAGTAGTTTGCGTCCGCTAGTAGGCGAATAGAACAGAAAGGATCTATTTTTATTTTATTTAGGGTATGAGAACGTACTATTTCTTTTAAATTCGTATTTGTATATATATCCTTAAATGTAAAAGTGGATATTTCTGCGGCATTAAAGTAGAGCTAACGATGTAAACTGCAATAGAATATTTAACTTTAAAGAGGCTAAAACAATTAGCATTTTCCCTCAAACTAAAATTACAACTCAACTTTCAGTCTTTAATCTCTATAATTGTTTTTTTTTTTCGGTTTGAGCTTGAAGGGAACTAAATTAAATGATATTCCTTTCTCTTGTGTATCTCTTTCCTATGGTTAATCCTGCTCCAGTATGAGTGATGGAGGATCCCAGTCCATCCAAAGTGGTTCTCTTGGCCTGCGGCTCTTTCAACCCCATCACTAACATGCACCTGAGGATGTTTGAGCTGGCCCGAGATCATCTGGAAGACACAGGTTAAAGCAACACTTGGTTTCAATGTAAATAGTTTTATCAACATCTGTGTCCAGTTGTGAATCATTATTTCTTATCTAAATGATGTTGGACTAGGAAATGTATTAGGAGAGAGAAATAAAACACTTTACTTAGATTGAAATCAGTACAAACAAGGTGGATCAATGGGCTATGATATTTTAATTAGAGAGTGATCCTAAAATAATTGAATCCTATGAAGGTAAATGCAAAACATAACTAATATGCTTTCACTTTCCTTTCTGTTAAAAATCATGCAGCATGTTTTACAAACCAAACAATGGAAGCCAGGTAACTAAGCACTGTGAATTGTAGGATACTTTATTCCTTGCCATGAGTGTAATAAACATTATTGGATTTTAAAATATTCTAAAAAATACTTGTAATCGCTGCATTTTGCTTCTGTTTAGTGCTTTAAGTCTTAGTCGAGCACTAAAACCCCTATACAATATTAAGCAGTCATTTATGGGCTATAAAAAGGTGTTTTGAATAGTTGGATACTGCATGAAATTATAAACTTAATGGCTTCTGTTGAAATGACATCTTAAACTACCGGTAGATGCAAAGTTGTGAAAAAAAAATCTGATCTAATTTGAAAACTAAAATATGAATTTATAATTTTTGTATTTTTCTTTTTTTTTAAACTATGTTTGGACAAAATCATCATAATAGCCATGCTTTTTTTTAAATGGAATCTCATATCCTTTGCTGCCATTCTCTTTTTATTTAAGGTCAGTACAGGGTGATAAAAGGAATCATATCTCCGGTGGGCGATGCCTATAAGAAAAAGGGTTTGATTGAGTCCTGTCACCGTGTGGAGATGGTCCGATTGGCCACAGAAAGCTCAGGATGGATCACAGTAGACTCCTGGGAGAGCCAGCAGTCAGAGTGGTTGGAGACGGTTAAAGTGGTTCGGTAGGTTTACAGTTGCTGTCTCGTGTCTGTTTCTTATCCTCCGATTTGTATTTTTATGAGTGACATCAACAAAACCAGCTTCGCAACGATAACTAGTCTGATGGTTTATTTCCTCACCTGCTTATAATCTACACGCTTTTATGTCGGGGTATTTTCGCCAGGTTTGAATATTCTGTTCATTTCACCAAGTACTTAAGGCTTTACCTAACCTTTGTATTGTTTTTGTTAGGCCGACTTATGCAGACAAATTTTTCATACTAAACTATATGATATAGAATTTATTAAATAGTTTGCATATTTAACGTAATTGGACGTTTGGATTTTAATAAGTTACAGAAATTGAAACCTACCTGTATTGATAGGAAAGTAAATTTCAATACAATTTCACTTATGGACCTTCCATTATCATTTTTCTTGCACATTTTAAGTAGTTTCCAATATTTTTTTACTTTAAGAATTATGAATTTAGTTATTTGAATGAATGCATATGCTTACAGAGTTGTTTTATCTTCATTCACAGGCATCATTATGAAGAGATTATTGCTGCAGAACATAACAAAGATGATGTGGACACAGTAAAGCATGCAAAGAAGAGGCGTATAGAGGAGAAACGCTTTGAGAGTTCAGATCAGAACAAAAAAAGAGGTAAATGAACCTGTGTAAGGATGCATAAGCACAAAACTATTTGTTTTTTGTTTATGTACTCTTCTGAAGTGAAAGAGTACAGCCATTAAGGAAATAGGTACTTTGTCACTATGATTGGGTGGCAGCCAGTTCTTCAGCTGAGGCGGCAAGTCGGTTGCTCTTTGGCAAAGAGGTGTCTTTAATCTCAGATTGAATTTGAAGCATCCAGCTGCATCGCAGCAGACGTTAAAACAAGATCTAGTCAGGAAAAATACAGTACCATGAATTTCTCACTTGCATTACTTCAACCTAGTCCAAAATTCTTTCAGTGTAGGGTCCATGTTTTCTCTAATTTAAAAACAAAATAGCAAAATCTTTGCACCTATGGATCCTTCTTTGAGGTTTTAATAGCTTAACAAGTATACAAAACAAAAAGAATCTATCCATCCATCACTATAATCCATTGCTCCTTGTCTCTGTGCTCAGATGCCCCTCATCTGATGCTGCTATGTGGAGCAGATGTCCTGGAATCCTTTGAAACTCCCAATCTTTGGAAGAAGGAGGACATCGCTGAGATTGTGGGGCGCTACGGTTTGGTCTGCATCACTCGCAGCGGCGGCGACCCGCACAAATTCATCAACCAGTCGGACGAGCTATGGAAGTATCGCACGAATATCCACGTCGTCCACGAATGGGTGACCAACGACATCTCTGCGACCCATGTCCGGCGGGCACTGCGCCGAGGCCGAAGCGTCAGATACCTGCTGCCCGACAGCGTCATCAGCTACATTCAGGAGCACGGCCTCTACAGCGCTGAGAGCGAGCAGAAAAACGCTGATGTGATTCTTGCGCCTTTTCAGAGATACTCTGAGGCCTCCACCAGCTGATGAACTTTAACGCCACGTTTACAAAAAAAAGCTGAAGCCGGTTTGCTGTGAATCCAAAACAAATTAGATTGTTTATTCATGCCGTCAGTAGTGTCTGTTTCACAGACCAATCATTCAGATGAGTTTTACTGTGGAAATGTTTATTTTTTTATTTTGCACTAATTGGAGTAAAAGAGCCAAAGTTCAACTACAAATAAAACACTTTTTTTAAAGTGTTTATATTTTGTACATAATGTGTTAAATAGAAATCTACTTGAACCTAAGGCTGCCTTAACTCTAACAGCTCATTACATGTTTTCAACCCAGAGCTGGAATTTTCCATGGGCTCACCACTCCTCTCATCACACGCTGATATAACACTGAACTTTTTGAGATTTGTAATGAACTAATAATAAACAGGTTTCTTTGTTTTTAACCTGGGCGTCCTCTTTGTTTTCCTATTATGTTAATGTCCCTGAGATTGGAAAAAAACAGATAATCCTTAGTTGGAAATGGGGCTCTTGTTATGTAGACTACTGAGAATTCTATGGGTGTACTAAGCTTCACATTTCCTTATTGCATAAAGAGTCACTTGTTAACCATTATTTCTGTACAACTTCTTTAAATATGATGACACAACCTAAAAGTTAAGATTTCTAACAGATGGTTTATGCATAATAAATTATCTTTGGTCTTTATGGAAGAGGTGCCGTAAGCAGGCATGTTTTGTTTTTGTCCTGATTTAAAGGGGACAACAGTTTCTAGTTTTCCCAGGAGTTTTGTTCGAGAGGAGGATAGAAACTAAAGGCTGAATCCCCTCCTTTAGTTTTGGGAACAATGTGCAAACAATGCGGTTCATTCATGGAAAGCAACTGATGTGAGCCTGGTTCAGTGCTGATTCTGATCCTGACACAACATTCAAACAATGGCATCTTTAATGTGATATAAAGGCATCAGTAAACAGATATTTAAATAGTTTATAAAGTTACTTTTTTCTTAATGGAATTAAAGCCGATTACCTGAAGGGTTTGTTTAGATTATTTTAGATATATAAAACTCATAATTCGATATACATTTAGTTGACTTTTAGAAGTATCACCTTAAAACGCTGTGAATTGGGTCAAGCATTGTGGAAATGCACTATTTTTATTGCCATTGTAATTTGCTTTGTCTCATTCCTCCTTAGTGAACCTTTCTAACAGTCAGCTTTGAGCGTACAATTCCTTAGACTTTCAGCCAATGTGTAGCTTAAACAGATTAACATTTCCAAATTCTGCTTTTTTTCACCTTTGTCTTTAATAATCAAGGTGTTGTTTGTCATGTTACTTTGGCTAATAACCTGTTTTTTTGCTTTGGTTCAGGGTTGCTTAAACCCATTTCACACTAAAACACGTTCATGTTCACCAAAGGGTTTTATACTTGTTTAGAACAGATAAATGTTTCGCTTTGTGGCATCTGAAAACAATACCCAGTGGTTAGAAGACTGAGGAGAGTCCCCATATTTATCCTGACATCTTGGCTGATATTTCATTCCTGAAAAGGGCAAATTTAAACACAGTATTTTTATTTATTTATTTTTTGGATGTACCTCCTGTAAAAACAGGTGAGGCTCCTCCTCATCTCCCGTGATTTTTTTAAAAGCACAATCATCATAGTAAATATACTTTCTAAATTAAAAAATTAACAAAATAATTTGTTTAATATCTCTGTCAGTTAGCAAACAGAAATAAATAGAACATTTTACCCAAAACAAAATATGTTTGGTCTGATTTCCAGCCAGACTGTAAAAATAAAAGATCAGTGTTTGTGTACAGTGTATGCAACTATGTAGTATATAATAAATATGCTGGGATAACATATGACTTTTGTAAGCTTAATACCATATGAGTTATATTTGAAAACCCAGGTCCTCTCAGAGCTCCTAATACGTTTGATAAGTAGGAAGTTAACTTATCTCACCAATAGAGTTTGATAGTTGATAAAGCTAAATGATTAAATCCATCATGGTGGAAAATGATTAACTTAGCATTAATGTTTGAGATCCAAGATTGCATCAAAATCTTTTGCACCATATTAAAGATTTCTGTGAAAAACAAAGCAGTAGGTTAAATCCAAACCTGTGTCTGTTTCATAAACCTTGGCAGTTGATTACTCATTTTTAACCTTCTATAAAAGGCTGTTTATTTACTTGTGGAGTGAGTTTGATTTCATTTCCTCTATCCTGCATTCCTTAGTGATTCTGCATCAGTTTTACTTTGTTGCTGCAAAAATAAGTTCACAGTTCGTTCTTTGATAGCTGTGGTTAAAGTATCAGTGCTGATCCTAATTTAATTTGATGCCAGGAGTGACATTTTGCCGAATAATTTGACGCTACTGATAAAAACTTAAACCAAATTGTGCTTATGAATCAGTCTTTTCTTGATTTCCTCAATACATTTTTAAAACTAAGGTAAAAATGTTTTGCTTGTTTTTTGTTTTCCCTACAGTTTCTACAATTTTTCTATGTTTTCCTAAAATCTGAGTGGAAATTTTTAACAGTAAACAAAGAGGTCTGGGGGTTTTTTTTTGTTTTGTTTTCATTTTAACACCTGAGGCATAGTTTTAAAAGTTGAACCTGTCAGACGTGTCTTGGCTTTCCATTACCACCGTTTCCACAGATAAAAGCCTTTCTCACCATACTCACACAATCTTCACCTGAACAACAAGTGAACAGGGGACACGCCCACCATTATCTCACAGGGGGTTTTCCCGAAAGCAGAGCTTATTTATAAGCTCACCCCTACACTCTGCATCAGATAACCAGCTTGAAGATCACAGAAATCACTCTAACTAATCCCTGAGCAAAGAAACAAAGAGAAATCATCATGCCAACCAGTGTGTGTGGAACATGGGACATGATCAGCAATGTCAATTTTGATGGCTACATGAAAGCACTTGGTGAGTTTTATTCCAAAAATATGCAACTGGATGTAAAGTTTAATGAGATACTCTTTTTCTGTTGTGAAATGCATGGATGTACGGCAACATTGAAATGTTGCTGAAATGTTTCAGCAGTTATATATGGTACGTCACTGTGAAGTTTTCCTGATGGATTCCTCTGCTCTTCCAGGTATCAGTGTTCATTTGAGAAAAATTGCCCTGAGGCTAAAGCTGAAGAAGGTCATTGAGCAGCAGGGAGACCAGTACATTGTTAAAACTGTCAGCACCTTCAGAAACTACACCATATCCTTCAAAATTGGCCATGAGTTTGAGGAGTTTACAAAGGGACTGGACAACAGACACATCAAGGTGAGAACGGAGATCATAATCATACATATACCAGGTGTTTGTATGAAGTATGGATGTGCTGATTTTGTGTTGCTGTTCTGATCAAACCTCCCACCTTTTTTTGTCTTCCATCGGTGCAGTCCACAGTGACATGGCAGGGAAATAAGCTGACATGTGAGCAGACTGGGGAGAAGAAGAATAGAGGCTGGGCTCACTGGGTTGAAGGTGACAAGCTCCATCTGGTAGGGAAAAATATAAGGCATATTTGGACTTTTATCAGTTTTATATACTTCATAAAAATGCATTTATTATAAAGTTCTGGTACATTTTTTCTCTTTAGGAGCTGTACTGTGACGGACAGATCTGCAAGCAGGTGTTTAAGAAGAATGTTAATGAGTGAAGAGGGAAAAAAGAAGTGTTTTGGGAACATTCACCCAGTGATGGAGGGCATCTGCTACTGCTGACCCTGAAGGACAAAACCACACCCTTCTAGACCCTGTGGTTTCTGGGATGTGGTCCTGCGGCTGGGTGAACATGCAGTACAACTTGTGCCAATAGGGGGCATCGCTACACTATTTTTAAACCATTGTAGAGCTGAATTTCTGCTCATCAGATGAACACTGAAGCATCAGAGATGCGTCAAAGGTTGTTGTTTTTTCAGCTGGCTGAAAAAAAACAAAAAAACAACTTTCCTCTATTTAAAACACTCCCCTAAGGCTCCTTCTGTTCAAATTAAAATCACTGTGCCAGTTTTGAAATTCCAAGTGTGTATATTTAGATAGCCTATCCAAGGTACCGGTATGTAAGATACATTTATAGAAAATATGTTTGGGATACGTTTTTATATGATTTGAATTTTGTTAATAAATTTCCTTTGAAACAAAAACTTTCAGTCAGTCTTCTGATTTTTGGTACATAAAAAAGTGAAAAGAAAAGTGGGAATGGTAGGTTAAATAAAATTGTCCTTTGCACGGTGGTAAAAATCTCATTTTTACACTTCAAAGACCAATTATTTATACTCCTAGAAGATTTATTCAACCAAGGACACATCAACATGATAAGGAATAAGATATATAGGCATATATCTACAGACAAAATAACGTAAATAGATGACAAAAGTAAAAAATTAAAAAGGATTTTAAAAGGTTTTTACCCTTCTAAAAAAATGTACGTAAATATCTTTATTTGACTGTTTTTCTTTGATGATGAGTGCCATTGCTGGTGGAGGGTGTTGTTGCCATCTCCCATATCTTTAATTCCCTCTGCACATTCCGTTAGAGTCAGAAGAAACATCTCAGTTAATTTACAAAGTATCTTTTACATCTAAGTCTGCCAGAGTGTGTGTATATTTACGCCTAACTTTGCTTCTGCGTGTTTATGATTATTTAGACTTCATGGATGTCATAATCAGAGATGAAAGAAAGCACATTATAGTTTCTAGTTTCGTGTTTCTAGTTTTCCTCTAGTTCCATGCTAGAGGTGTGAAAAGGCATGGATAAATGCTTTAATGCAAAAACAAAATCTCCCAGAAAATCTGTAAAAAATCTGTAAATGTAAAATGGTTGCTTACTTATTTAAACCTAAATACTTAACATTTATAATCTCAAGCCTATGTGCCAAAAGTACATAGACTTCAAGCACATCCAGGAAGTTTTGTTTTGAGTTTATACGCTTGAAAAACGATCTAAAAATAAGTAAAACTTTCTTAAATTAATTGTATTTACCCTTAATTTTAGTAGGTTAATGAAGTGATTTGCCAATGGAAATACACACAATGGAGTATTTTTATTCTTAAAATAAGGTAATTAGATCATATGCACTTGAAATGAGACAATGTGATTGTGTTTTGTTATTTTAAGTGTAAATTGTCTCGTTCCATTGGCAAAATGTCTCTTTTACCTCCTCAATCTAAGAACAAATGCACTTATTTTAAGAGAAAATTACTTATATAGATTTTGATTTGTTTCCAGTGTAGATTTTCTGGATAGTTCTTTCTGCCATTAATTGTAGGTTGTTCAGCTCTCAGCTTTTTACTGTAGGCCTATTCAGTGTGTGTGTTTTGTAAAGTAACTAGTAAGCTGCTTGTGTTTTCACAAATCATGCAGCTTCTCAGTTTCCGTCATTTTTTGGTTTTCACATTTCTCAGATAAAATGTTTCTTTTAAAAAATTACAGAGTTGTTGGTATTACTTTTTGATCTTCACATTTTCAGGTGAGGTACAATGGGTTCCCCAACAGAGCAAATAGCAAATACAGTTTAAAAACAGATGTGGATTTTATCTTATAACATAAAACCATACACATATAATCAGATAAACAGTAAACAAGACATTTCAGCATGAATGAAAATGTCTATATTTGCAGGAATCTGTGGACACAATAGAAATGGAAAGTTATTTCCAAGTCTGATTAGGAGAAAACAATCATCCCCTTTTTTCTTTTTTGTTTTTAAATCTTTTAATTTACCATATGGAACGTTATATTTGAAAAATAAGTGATTTCTCATGGCAGAATCTAAGGAAAAACAACAACAAAAAGATTAAGGATGGAGTTGGTGAATTAATTTACTAATTCAATTTGTATGTTTCTGGCGGATCAACGTAGAGAAACAAATAAATGGCTAAATAAAATTCGTAAACCTCATTGGTTCTGTTCAATTCACCACTACTTAAAGGTATTTTCCACGCAGTGACGCAGCATTCCCCCTAAGCATCAATAGTCACGTGACCTGATGTAGAGCCAAAATGGCCGCTGTTGTATTTTGACGTATATAATAGCTAGCTACTTTTCTTTTTGTTTGCTTCTCGGTAGAAAAACTACCAAACAAGAGATTTTTTGGGAGATCTGCAGCTCTCCATCTATCGTATATCGGTGTCCTAGTTTTTAACTCGGGGACAATCCGGACTGACATTTATTCGTTGAACGAGTTAAACTATGCATATTCGGTCCTAATCGAAGCTAGCTAGCTGGCTCTGGCTGGCACTCCGAAGCAACTGAAAGTGAAATAGCTAGTTGACTTAGCTGCCAGGATGGAAGAGTTGAGCGCAGATGAGGTAAGGTGACAATGGATCAATTCATTTAATAATTACAGAGCGAAGCCTCGTTTAACTGGTGTTACGTTTTTCAGAACTACTATTTCCTTCTCAAAGCTTCAACAGCGTCTTAAAGCGAGCCTGGTTGCTACAAAAGGTAGCACTAATGTTAGCTTAACGTGAAAGAAAGAAACCACTCGCTGGCTCAATTCTACAATTATTTCACCGAAAAGACAGTATTATCTGACTAGGTCAACCCGAATCCCAAACGTTTTAATCATATGAAATCATGTTTTTCTATGTTATGCGTAATAAATTAGAGAAAGGCTTTGAAGTTGCCTGTGCCGTGTCATTTAGCAGGAGGACGGTGCTAACTGGTTACGGTTAGCTCATAAGCAAGTGTTTAACATTGTTTGTGGTTAAACGCAACGAAATATTAATTTATCTTCCCCTTTGCATTATGGAAGCCTAAAGAAAAGAAAATGTTGAACTTTTTATTAAAATATATTGCTTGTAAATAAACAAAACAAAAAAACGTCTAATTGTTGCTAACATTGGCTAAATATGTTTGCGAAACGACTCAGCAGAAAGGGGCAAACATGAAAACAGTGGAGCACCACAGCAGAGTTAACAGTGATGCTTCCCTTGGACATTGAAAATGACACACACCTTTTCTTACTCAATACTATGGAAGAGGATTAGGGCCACTGAAAAAAAGAGTTAACCGATTTTAAAATTTCATTTCAGTACAATATGAAAAAAAAGTCATAATTCTGACTTTTTTCTCACAATTCTGACTTTATTCTCATAATTCTGACTTTTTTCTCACAATTCTGACTTTATTCTCAAAATTCTAAATGAATTCTGAGATTAAAGTCAAAATTCTGACTTTTTTCTCACAATTCTGACTTTATTTTCAGAATTCTAAATTAAATTTGACAGCTAAAAAACATGTTGGCATCAAGCCGTAGCCATGTCTCTTTTAGAGACTAAACTAGCTCTCTTGTGTTAATCATGTCCTGCTCTTCCATTAATGAAATAGCATCACCAGGCACCCCTTGGGCACATAAAAGTCGCCTAATTTTCCACCAATATGCCACTGGCCCTCTCAAACAATTTACATATTTGTCAGTGAAGCTGTGTGCTCCCACATCTCTTCCTGTATGGTGCCAATCTACATTACGATCCAAAATTCTGAAATTAAAGTCAGAATTCTGACTTTTTTCCCATGTTAAACTGAAGTAATAGTTTAAAATCAGTTAACTTTTTTTTTTTTTTTTTTCTTCCCTATGGCCCTAATCCTCTTAGGTACAATACGCCCCGGACTTAACCATTTAAAAACATCTGGGATGTGTGGTAATTTTTTTACAGTTTGTATTTGAAACACAATTTAGGCTTTTAATGTTCAATTTTAAGTGAATTATTGTAAATATTATGTCAAAAGGCAGGTAAAGTGCAGTTTAATACATGCTGGGATGAAGGATTTTATAACTCCTAGTTGGGTTAGGTTGGTACATACGACAATTAAAACATATCAGATTGCACGTAGTGCATACTATGGTTATTCAGATACTATAACACTATAAGAGGGATTTTAACTATAAGATTTTATTTTCAGATGTATAATATTGTTGCCCCCTCAAAAAATAACATACCCTACTTTAATTTAATCAAGTTTAAGCACCTAAGGACTTTGTTAAAATCTCTTGTTACTTCCAACCTATAATCAGAAATTAAGCCTTTTTAGATGAGGGGTGAAAGGCCTTTAAGGAAGAAGAAAAGTCCAATTAACCCTACTCTGTCATTTATGTTTACTTTGTCTTTACCAGCAGATATCAACTTTGCTAAACCTAACCATCATCTAAAAGAGACATAAGATAAAACAAAATGATAAGCCTAATTTACAGTACAAATACAAACACTTCACTGAATGATTCCAGGCAATGGAACTTTTTTCCTTACTTATTACAGCCTGGCCAAAAGCACAGTCCTGTTCAATCTACACAAGCCTGTGGAAAAATGTTTTCTAAAGTCTCAGCTGACCTTGAAGTAATTTTTGATGAACCTGCCCAAATGACCTGATATGTGATGTTTTTAGAATAAAGCAACTTAGTGTATTATAGACTTTCTCGCATTATAATGTCCTAATAAATAAATAAATATTTCTGCTGCATCCACCAATGTTTATTGCTAGTGTTGGAAAGGCTGCATGAACTGTGAAATTTATTGCAGCCCATGCAGTTATTTCCGAATTTGGTGTTGTGCAGTGATGTTATGTTTCATGCTCTATTATGTTGCCACAAATCCATCTGTGAACTGGTATCCACAAAGTAGGAGGCTGTTAGCTCTATACGTCGGTAGTTGCCATTAATAGTCTCCTGCACAAGCTTAGGTTTTAAGCAAAAAATTAAAAAATTCCTGTTATTGCTAAATGCTTTTTTTTTTTAAGCGTAACAAAATTTGCACTTTGACATTTCTTCAATAATATGTTAACATTTAATTATTTTGTTGTAAAAAAAATCCTTAATATAAAGCAAAAATGTATATTATTTTATAGATCCGCAGAAGGCGGCTGGCACGGCTGGCAGGAGGACAGACATCACAACCCAGCACCCCGCTCAGTACCCCCCTCACATCCCCACAGAGAGAGACTCCACCTGGACCCCTCCCTGGCCCCTCAGGCATCTCACCCCAACCTGTAACACCAGCTGCCTCCCAATCTTTGGGCCTCAATGTCCACAGTGGAACCCCTGCCACATCCCCTATGGGAACCTCTGGTAAGGAATCAGTCTGGTGGATATGCATGCTTTAGACACTA